GGAGCCGGGGGAGTATCCTTAGCAGGCGGAGTTGGGGCAGAGTTCACTTGGGCTTCAACCTCAACCTCCTAGTGCTCTTCTTCCTTTTCCTCCTCTACGTCATCATCATCATCACCCTCCTTGCCGGCTGCAAGCTCCTTCTTTACCCACTCTAGGAAAGGCTCAGGTTTCGGCTCCCCTCCAGCCCTTGTTGAGAGGACAAGATCCGAGTACCTGCAGGCTACGTCCCAGATGTTGTACTCAGCCTCCGGATACACCAGTTCCCAAGCCATCCTCATCCGGCCTTCGCAGTCCTGCTCATTCTCCTCAATGAGTCGGTTCAGCTCAGCTTCTAGAGTGGCCTTGAAGTTGCCCCGAGAGGCGGCCATCTCCTTCTGCAGACGGTCGATGTCTGCTTTGAGAGTGGCGTTCTCCTACTTGGTCTCCTCCAAAGACTTGAGACCCGCCTGAGCATCTTTTAGCTCCAACTCAGCATTGTCAAGTTCCGCCTCCAGATTTGAGGCCTTCAAATTAGCCTCATTGAGCGCAGCATGGAGCTGCTTGATAGAGTCTGCTTGCGACAAAAGCTCAGCTTTAGTCTCAAGATCATGAATTAGCATTTGATACTAAGCAACATCAGTAGTATCAGACACATCTCTCTTGGCCCGTCTTACCTCTTCCTGCTTCCGGGCATACGGCTTTTTTAGCCCCTCTACTCGCAGCATCGTCTGAATAAATTCAAACGGTGTTAGAAAAGCAACCAACAATACACTTGAAAGATAGTAAATAAAACTACTATACCTCAGACAACATAGCAAGGATGCGGTCAACATTGAATGTATAAATCTGGGGGGTGGCTTCCTTGTCCTCCTTGGGGACAGCCTTCAGCATGGCCTTGGAGTACTGTTGTACATCCAGCCACCGAGGGGATTGATCTGCACCAAAAATTTGATATGGTGAGAAAGATACATATGCGCCACCAACAGATCGTCGGCTGCCCGAAGATCCTTCTGATTGAAGTTGGGAATGTGACTTGACCCGCATGGGCCAACCCAACTCAAAGGGAGAGTTGAAGGGGTCAACAGTACCTTGAGGATAAGGTTGAGGGTTGGATCCCCTACAGCCGCTGCAGAACTGCTTGCAGCTTTGGGTGGCTGGCCACCCTTCGGTACCTTAGAGGCACCCGGCTGGAAATATATTAAGGTCAATCCCCAAACTGACATTTCAGATACTCTTTCCCCCAACGATCAGACGACATTTGTCAAGCGGACCCTTGGAAGCCGTTTGAGCAGACGTTATTTTTCTGGATTTATTAGAGCTAGTGACCTCGTCACCCGGCCTCTATCTGATAAACATGGAAAAGGATCTAGGAGCTCTCTTTCCTCCATCCTGTAAACGAACCAAATGTTAAGTATACAATTGTCTCATAACCGCCTATATACATAAATAAGGCAAATGGGGAAGAAACTGGGGCAGGCGGTTTATACCTGGCCTTTAGCTGCCAGTACGACTTTCTTTTTCTCCGCATTTTCCCTGCAGATGTCTGCTGCAGAACGAGCATGCGTTTTGTTTTCTAGGAGCATTCTTCTGGCGGTTTCTGCAAAAAGAACCGTTTGTCAGACCATCAAGCAGACAAAAATAAATCACAAGTTAGAAACACTAGACAGCAAAGCATTGCCGGATGCAAGGTCTACATATGTCTGTCAAATTTGGTACTCAACCCACAAGCGGATAGGAACGCCACATCTCTAAAAAATTCATGCTTGGGTACCCAGCTCTTGGGTATGCTTATTAATTCTCCGGTCGAGAGAGCGGTGGTTGTAAGCTCAAAAAACCCCGCCTTTATTATTTTTTCATAGTCCTCATCCGAGACTTGGGGAAATTTGCACTTTTGCCCCAATAGATCCGCCTTCTTGTTGTACGTGCGGTACAGTAAGTTCTCTCGCCGCTTAGGGGCAGAAACCAAATAGAACCGGTTTTTCTAGTCAGGCCACTTAGACGGTTTGTCTAGGGTCATTAAGTACTTGGGGTAGGTGGTCAAGGTATACCACGCCCGCTAGCCGCCTGGGCTACGGTTTAGATAATGCATGTGGGCAAAAGCCTCCCAGTCGGGGTGAAGGCCCTGCATCTCACAGGCGGCAATGTAACCTAAAACGTTAACCCAAGAATTGGGTTAACTACCACACTCCTAAGCCATATCCTTAAAGGATAGCCTTGATCGCATCATGGAGGGGGAAGCGGAGACCGGCTAGGAAGGTCGCCTCATAGCAGCCAAAGAAGTTGTTAGCATTTGGCTGGTCATCCTTCTATGCAATGGTACCTAATTCAGGCGGCACCCGGATGTTATAACCCTACCAAGAGGACATTTGGACGTGAAGACCTCCAGGTGCTTCTCCATGTTTGCCCGGTCTCTGGCAGTAACATGGATCCAGAAAGGGTCCCCCTCATTGTTCCACTTTGATCTCTCCTCTGCCTCACTATCCTCACTATCCTCAATCAGTGATAGTGAGTTGCTGCTCTCTTCAGAACTAGAACCAGACACAGAGGCGAACTCACTCCCGTCTCTCTCAGAAGCAACTTCGTCCGCCTCCTCAGCGCCAGATACAGAGACGACTTCTTCACCGTCTCCATTCTCAGGTTCAAGGATCCCGTCACTAGGAGTGCTGGGTGCACTCATAGGGGATCCTCTTGCTTCCTCAGCCTGTTCTACCTTAGGCGGCGCACCTTCTGTGCTCTCTTCCCTATACTCCGGATCTACAGCCGTCCACCTACCTATCCCTACCCATAGTGTCCTGCACAAACTCAAAGATGATCGAATTGGGAGATGAACAAGAGTGATCCAGGCACCTAGAGGCAGCACCCCCAGTCCTAGACTCAGCCATACCAGGTGACCGACTGCCTACTAAACTATGTTGTGCCGTGTGTGCTGTTGGAGAACCCATATATGGAATGCTATGTACACAAACGGAAATACACGAAAGAGCTGAGAAGGGGAGAGACGGTACCTCAAAGATGAGCAGAAAAGTAGTCAAGCGTTGGCCGGCTAAACTAGCAGGCAGAAATCAGAAAATTGCTTGCAAGAGGCTCAGACGGTTGACCGGATGTACCCCCCCCCCCCCCCCCCGGAAAATGGAGAATTGTTTGCAAACCCCACAGACGATTCTCAGAAATTTTCCTGTCTGTCAAAGGCACAGACGTTTTACCGGCTGCAACCCCTTGGAAAGCAAGAGAATTGTCTGATAGATACTTAGACGGTTCAGATGATCCCCCATTTGAGAAAAATGCAGGCGGTAGCCCGGCTGTGTCTAACATAATGAAGGCAATTGCTTGAAGGATACACAGGCTGTTGTCAGACGTTTTCTCTCTAAAAGTTGTTGACTCTTTTTAAATTTTGGAAATGACCAAAAATGGGAAAGGTAAAAAATCTATTTATATGAGGGTAATTTTAGGGGTGTTCCTGTAATTCTCCCAGAAGGTGGACAGTTAAAACTGTTCACCAGTATCCCAGTGATAAGTGTCTCAGGTACCACGTGGCACGCCACGTCACACCTGTGAGGGGCAAACGTTTTGGGTAAAAATACCCAACGCCACGTGGACCAATAAAATGGTGACACATGTCACCTTAAGGGAGGTTCAAAATGAACCAATCCTCTACTGACATGTGGCATCCCCAATCATTGGGAAAATGGCAGTCCTCAAGGCCCAATTCCCAGGATAGCCCACCATTCTTAGGTTTCCGTAACCTAGGATGGCAGCACGCATCCCAAGACCCTATAAATAGGGAGGTATTCCCACATGGGAAAGGCATTCAGAAATATACACAAAAACATTCACTGAAAACATAGCAATCATTAATTGCAGATATTTACCTCTCACCTCAGAGAATACCCTCGATCTCAGAATCCGAGAAGATACTTTACTTTCCGCACTTTTTATATCATCCGAACACGTTCTATTTTGCATCATCGGAGGCGGAGCTCCACCCCTCTGGAGTCTCTATTGTTTTGCAGGTACAGGCGCCCGAAATCCAGTTTTGGAATTGTTACTCTCCCGAAGGACACAGAAAATCCCGAAACATATATGATAGTTTATATTCCAATCATAGGCTCTAATCATAATATAAGTTTATGTTTTTGGTTGATTTGGTCCTTTGACATGGTATCAAAAATTAACGTGACAGGAAAGTCATACGTTCAAATCTCATCCACAATTTCTTTTATATGAAATATTTTGTGCTGGGTACAAGAATACTCATATTGCATCCATATTTAAAGGCTAATGACTCTTATGTAAGGAGGTGTGATAGAGTTTCAACCATATGGTTAAACTATTGGTTTTGTTGGTCCTTGATCAATAAAAACCACTCTTGTTAAAAAAGAAGGAAAAAAAAATAATAATTATATTAGTATTATCTTATAGGGTTGTTGGTTTTAATTTTTTTTTCAAATTCAAATATTTTGTTCTTATTTTATTTGTCAAATTTGAAATTTGTCTCTGTTTCTCAATGTGGGATACCATGTGTTATTTGGAAATTTATACTTTAACATAATCTTGCTCCAGTTTACTACTCCCTCCATATTTAAATAAATGAAACGTTTTTCATTTTTGCATTATTTATCTAATTCACTTTAACTAATGTTTGTGATTTATACATAAGAATAAATATAGTTATATGATTATTTGTTGAAATCGTCTCAATGAATATTTTATTAATATTAAATTGTTATAATCTTTACTTATTGATAATTAAAGATATTTTTAATTAAAATTTTGCATTTGTGTAGGTGCACAAAAACGTTTCAATTATTTGAAAAAGGGGGGAATCACATTTCGGGTATTGGTTTAATACTTCCTCCTCTAAACGGGCTTGTCCTATGCGCAGTAGCCAGTAGGTGTCTAAGCTAAGCTACGTGCCACTTGGCCCATGTCCTTTGTGTCGCTCATAACTTCATAAGTCATAACCGCCTTTACAAGTAGTCGAGATAAGCATAAACTCCTTAAATTAAAATAACATACTTCAATATCATCTGTCTTTTACTATTCAAACAGAGTGACTTCATCATAGTCGACACAAAAAAAACATATATGGAAGAAGAGACGACGTCGTTTAACATCTCAACCCGAGCATCTGCTCGAAACTCCACCATGTTATGGTCATCCTCATATTCTTATCCCCTGTATTCACCGCAATATTCATGTATCACTTAGACCCACTCGAGCCGGCTGAGTTACCTCTACAGGAGCTAACTCAGCCGGAGACGGTGGCGGCCCGAGTCAATAGCAACCTCCTAGATGGTGCTGATCCTATTGGTGTTGGAAAATTGGTTGGACCTGAGGATATTGCCTATGATCCTATTTCGAAGATTATATACACAGCTTGTTCTGATGGGTGGATTAAGCGAGTCAGGGTGAATGATTCGGATGTTGAGGATTGGGTTTTTATTGGTGGTCGACCTCTTGGGCTCGCTCTTGGGTTGAATAATGAGCTTATTGTTGCGGATCCTTTCAAGGTATGTTAATTTTAAGCTTATGATAGAGTTACTTAATTATTATGAATGTTTAATTTTATTTGTTTGAAAATTTGCTGAAGAAAGTTCTTGAATTTTTTTTTCCTTCTCTGTTCTCTAAAAATCTTGTTAACCATTAATATCTTGTTTTTTTACTCTCTCCGTTTTACATTTTAGCGATTCTTAATGGTTACATTTAAATTATTATTTAGATTAACGTACGGAGTAGTTTTTTTTTTTCTTTTAACAATTATCTCATTTCTATGCAACGAAGTATTTATATTACCAATGTAAATATTTCTATTTATAAAAATATTTGTCTACTCCCAATACAAATATTTAAAGTCAATTTATTGTCTTTAACACTTGATATTTGTGACTTCTAACCATTGTTCTTCGTTATTATATCTTCTTTAATAACCGTGTAAAGTCATTAAACATATTATTCTTTCGAGAATGAATGAAGTATTATAAAAGACAAAAGCTAATAAGTATTTCGGGAGCGTTAGATAAGATAATTGAGAACTAAATACGGAAATATTAAAGTAAAATTAACATTAATTACACCGATTGACGCGTGATTTATTCATAAATTCCGAACTTAATACTATTTTAAGTAATATATTTATTAGTTATTTAACGCCGCGGGGCGCTCGTAAAAAATATCCTTCCTAAAATGGTATTAGTTTAAGAATGCATGTTAAAATCACGCGTTAATTGTTGTTGCCCCTAAGGCGTTAGTTAGCTTTTATCTTTTATTAATTTGGTCACTTACATCATACAATTTCAACCTCAAAGTACATGTCATAGGCTGTATTACAAATATTTAAAAACGGACAAATTATGAGATTACTGAATATTAAGTTGAATTATATGTAAAATAATGAACTTCAACACTTTTAGCGCACGGAATTTCCTAAACCATCTAAAAAGCTACAGTATTGGGACGGTGTTTATTTAGGAAGTTTGGATTTTCATACCTATCAACGTACTGCATAATATAAGCAAGCTAGTACCGCATATAAACAAAGGTTTTACATTTGTCCATATTGGTCTTTACTTAACCTGCGATTTCAAAAGCATACAAACAAAGATAAAATTTGCTCCAAACTAAATTAGGCTAAATTGGTTGAATATTAATGCACGCATAATTCTAAATATTAGTGATCACTTTGATTAACAACAAGATTAAAAAGGATCCTAACCGGTCGTCCAAATTATCTTATTAACCGTTATATTCAATTACATATTCTCTTTAACATGCAATATTTTGATCAATCAATATAATAGAATTACAATAACATTGGAAGCAATTTAACCATAATAACAACGATTAATATATGACAAACATGATAAAAACCGTTAGAAATATAACAGGAACAAAAGGAACATGATTCCTTACTTTGATTGCATTTGATTGCTAGTATAAAACAATAAACACGTTAGTAACTTCAAAGAAAATAATAAACAACAATGGAAATTAAATTAAATGAAAGTAGAGTTGATTTGGGGCCAAACCCTCAAACAGTTATACTTTTCACGCCTTGGCTTAAATATGGAACTTCGGGTAAAATATGGACTCCGGGCAGTGCTTAGGGGATGAACTATGAAATTAGGGAAGGCAAATATTTAGGCTAGATTATATGAGAGAAAGAGAGTATGAATTGGTGCCTCGAAACTGTGAAATCGGCCTCGTATTTATAGAGGAAATGTGAGGGATGTAGTTCGAAACCCTAGAAATGAGGCGCTGTAGAAGAATAAAGCACCGGCCAGAGCCTTTCTGCCGTGGTGCGGTATAGACTGCCGTGGCAAGGTAATTGTACTGAGGCACAGTAGTTGTACCGTAGAGCGGCAATCAACTTTATCACTTCTGAAGGTCAAAACGCGAAAAAAGATAAAACCGGGTCAAAAGAATTTTCGTGGCACGACAATGTCTGGCGTGCGGCATTGCTTGCCATGCCACGACTATTTCTTTCGTGGCACGACAACTGGCTTTTCTGAAAATTGGTTTAAAATTCGTTTTTATCTTATTTTTTAACTAAAGCACGTGACAGTTATGCGCTGTTTCAGCTATTCCAGACTCAATTTAGGTTTAGGGTTTTAATTTTTATTAATCGAGCTAAATTAATAAATAAATGAAATGGATTAAAATAGTTTGGGCTAAAATGGGGATTGGTCAACGCTTAACTAAATACTTGGACTTAAATATGGACTGATTTGTAAATTGTGTTTGATTAAAAAGGATTTTAAGCCCTCACGAGATTAAATACAATACCCTACCAATAATGGCGTGAAAGGTTGTTCATCATCGAGTTTGATTTTGGGGAGACATTTTTAGATGTCTATACTTACCACCCCTATCTTCCACCATAACCACCACAACACCATCCCCTTCCAAGGCACTCCTACCTCTTCCGGGAAGCAAATACCAAATTAACAGCAAATTCATTCTTTTTTAAAAAAAATTTCCTATAATTCCTTTAATCTCGCTCTGCCAATGTATGAACATATGCCGATTGCGGTTGTTTTTTCCCTCATTTCAACTCCTTTGTCGGTTGCTAGACTGGAAATGGGCGTTTCTTTGGTGGGTTGCTATGATTGTTCAGGTTATTAGAAACATTTTGAAGCTTGCAGGTTTCGATTTGATTCGATAGAGATCTAAATTTGTCGAGCTCCAACATTAATAAACTCTTCAACAATCTAATCTCTGACTTCAAAAGCCCCGTAATGTCGTAGTTGAGGAAAAGGGCGATTGACGCATCATTTAACTTCCGATGATGATTAAACGGGCGCCATATCGTCATTTATAGGAGGAATCGGAAATTCATCCGTATTTTGATGGTTTAATTGCTTCCTAGAAAAATGGTTGTTGTAATTTTGATGGTTTTTGTTGCGGTTGTTAGCCTGCTAGGTGTGGTGGTTGGAGGTTAGTGTAGGGCTGCGAGTTGTGGTCGAGGCTTAGCGGAGTTTGTGTGGTTTTGTTGATTTCTGGTGGTGGGCTGGTGGTGTGCTGCTGTGCAAGGAAGGAGGGTGCATGGTGACTGGTGATGGGTGGTTGCTAGGTGTGGTGGTCGATTTGGGGCTGCTGGTTGTGTTCAAGGCTTGGTGGTTATTAGTTATGTGGCTTTATTGATTGTTGACGGTGAAAGTACAGTGCTGCGTGTTGTGCAATAGGAGGGTGGTGGTGATAGGTCGGCTAGAGGGGAAGGGGGTAGCTATTGGGGGTGGCACTAGGGTGGTGGGGGTTGAGTAAAGTGAGGGATCGTGGAGGGAGGAAGGAGCTGGTTCCATTTTTTTTTTAGTTTAATTTTTTTTTTAGTTTAATTTTTTTTTTAGTTTTTTTATAAAAAGGACCAATTAGAAGGTGACACGTGTTAAGTCACCTTCTAAAATAGGTTACCAAATTATAAAACCGGTCAAAAGCTTGTTTTGAGAAAATAGGGGGCAAAAGTTGGCTCGTTCCCAGAATACACAAAGGTTGGCTCGTTTTGAGCAGATCGAGCAAAGGTCGTGGCCTAGGATTATTTATTTCATATTTTCCTAAAATCAATCTCTGGTTTTCTACCTAGTATACTCCGTATGACCCATATGGCCATATGTGTAAATCACCAAATAATTAAGGAAAAATAATTTCAAAATGTTACAAATATATTATCATGTGAGTCTGTTTTACCGTGAGTGTACTCATTAAAAATAGGTATACATAATATATGAATGAAATATCTCCAATAACTATTATAAAATTTTCAAAAACTTGTATAAAATGTCTAAAAATTTATATTAAATCTCACCATAATAGTTCAAACTCGCACAATACCTTCTCTAAATAAAAAGATTATACTGCATTTTAATGTGTTTATTAAACATAAACATTACTCCGTATTATGTACGGAGTAGCTAGTTCTCTGCATTAACATAACCTCTCGTTTTATTCACATGCTTTGAAAACATAAACATCACTAAATTTGCATAAGCTATCATTTTTCTAATCATTTAAGACATGTCGATCAGATCATGTCCTTTCAGAAAATCAATATTGTTTTTTATTTTGTGTTCCATTCGGTTCACTATTTGGGCCAATCCCCTCGCAATTGTTGTTGCGGGGGATCAAATATGCGATCCTCCCTACCAAGTGTAGCCCAAATCACCACTACACCAACAACCAATTGGTAGAAGATCAACATTATAGCTAGGCTTGTACAACTATGTGTCGATGTCAGAACTTTTTATTAGTTGTAAAGATTTATAACTTTTTCTTCTTTTTAGATACATCACTTTTGATATTATGGTTTTCTAGAATACTTTTGAAATAAAAGAAGTACATCCTCTATCCATAATATTTTGCTCCATTTGACTTTTCTTTATCTTTAAGGCGCGTTTTAAAATGATTTTATCCCCATTTTCATAAAAGAAGCTTTGGGTTGTGCCGGAAAGGGTCATGGGCTTTGCCTAACCCACATGCCTAAGACCTTTCGGGTCCAAGCCTAGCCCAACCCCATGTCCATGACTTGTGTTCTGTTGGGCTTGAAATAGCAAAACCATGGCTCAGATCGTGGGCCTTTGTGGGCTCGTCGGGCAGCCCATGTGCTTGCCCATGGGCCCACAACTTTTCTTCAATAAATCTTATTTTTCTTTATTTTTGTAACTTATGATATGGCTATATATTAGGGTTGAGCAAACCGGGTACCTGGTCAAATTTTTAGGATCCGAACCCGAAATTGGTTAGGACCGGGTCCTAAAATTTGGAACCGAAATTGGAATTGGTTCAATCGGGTCCTAAAATTTAGGATTTGGAATTGGAACCACTGGGTACCGGTTCCAATTCCTGGTACCCGGCCATTTATGTATATAATTGTTAAAATATAACGCAAATTATAATACTTATTTTGGACTATTTTCACTCTTAGCATATAATACTTATACGTATATATGTATTAAGCTATTTTATTTATGTTAGGTATTAATAATATTATTTTTATTTTACTAATTAGATACCTTCAACA